AAAAAAAGATTCAACAAAGACACAAATGAAACCACCATCATCGCCAAGATCAAAAAATATACCCCCACCACGTGCACCTCAACAATCGAAAACAAAATATGGCAACGATTTTCCACTTCACACGATATATCTTTTTAATTTATACTACGAGCAACTTCATTCCAATCGTTTATTCTTTATAGTTCAACATAATAATTTAAATGTTCAAGAGCAAATTATAATTCGCCGGAATCTAAAATACACGGGGGCTGATATAACAATGATTCGAGGATCAGTCCTAAACGCTGTTATAAGACAGTCTGTAATTTATCAAAATTTATTACCGTTAATTGTGGGGCCTACTGCTATTATCTCTTCGAATGTTTCTGAGGAGGAAAATTCTAAATTGGTTTCAGACATTTTGAAGATTATTAACAAGCAAAAGAAATTGCTATTAATGGGAGGTAAAGTGGATTCTTCGTTGTTAAATGTGGAAGATATTGAACGGATGGCTAAACTACCAAATAAGAAACAATTACAAGCTGAAATTGTGGGTGTATTGAGTGCACAGGCAGCAAGGGTTGTAGAAATACTTAACAAAAATCCGCAAAGTTTGGTGAGATATTTGGAGATGCATAAAGAAAATCTTGGTGGAACAAGTTAAAATTAGGTACGTACGTACACACCGGAAATTGGTCACGTGGTAATACTAGTCGCCAATTTTCAAATTTGGTTTTATTAAAATAAAGGAAATTACTTCGCATCACCAAGTGTTTTTCATCATCACAATAGTTTTAGGGTTAGGGTGCGATTTTATAACCAAAGAGGGGTTAGCTAAAATGGTCCAAATTTAGGTTACACGAGGTTTTTAGAGTTCCTGAACATTCACCAGACCCCTGTTTCTTCCATTTTTGAAATATTGCAAACTGGTGATCACCAGTGGTGATAAATAGCCAATCTCTAAAATAAATCCAATAAAATGATACCCGTGTATATACACTACGTGTAAAATTAGATATTTCCTTTTAAAAAATATTTAAAACAAGATTTTATATATTTCTTAAAAAATGCATAATTTTTGATAAGTAGTGACTTGGAGCACCATACAACCTTGAATGCATTGTGTATGTTTTTACATATTTGCACTTATCTAAATCAGTATAATTTTTTTTTTTTAAATATTGAATTTAAATTTTTTTTAAATTTTTTTTTTTTTTTTTTTATATAAAAAAAATGATTTTTTTTTTATATACTGTATATGTACAACGAAAAAATTTTTTAAATTTTTTTTTTAATTAACATGTAGTAATATAAACACGTCAACTTTACATAAATAGATTCCAGAAAAAGTATTAATATACACTTGACCCCCGTTAATATCAACCTTATTAATATCAACCTCCCGTTAATATCAACCTCTTATTAAGACAAAATAGACTCAGGGTATATTAAAATTATTCCGATATTATCAACCCTCGCATATATCAACATAATTGCCCAATACAAATGGGTTGGTATTAACGGGGGTCAAGTGTATTTTAATAAAAAAGTAATTCAGATCATATGTAATAATATTATGTTTTAGAGATTGTACCTGTCTACTCGAGTATTATTAAATTACCTAGCTATCCCAATAATTTATTATAATTATATAATAAAAATGTCTACTTGGGTACAATCTCTATAATAATAATAATAATAGCAATTTTTCTTTAAGTTCTAACAATTATCAGAATAATAAGATTGTTAGAAAATTATGTATTTAATTAACATATTCAAGAGTCAGTGTTAAATTATATATACACAATATTTAATAAAATTCTTGTTATAGAAATATTTAAAAAATAAATCTTTTTTAGTTAGTATATTGACATTTTTTATAAACTTTCATATACTTTTAGACAAATTACCCAAATTATAAACAAAGAGATATATAATTAAGGATATATATATATATTGTCAAATGAAACTTATAAGTAATTTAAAGGGTGTGGTGACTTAGTGAAGTTGGGAAGTTGTCACCTCCAAGCGGCAGGACAAGAGTTCAAATCCTACTGGTAATGAAATTTAGAATTTACAGAATGCATTAGGAAGACTGTATCTTATTGGGTTTTAGAATTTGTAACAGAGTTGCACCAACTTGTACTGAGAGGTAGTAGAACATTTAGTGTGATGTATGAGTTACATGAAACTCAAGTGAAGCTACTGAATAAATCTAGTGGATTGATGGAATACAGAAGCCTGTTTGGCAAGTTTGAGTAGAGAAATAGTACAGATCTTTGATGGTATTATATAAAGAATTATCATCTGGAAGTAACGAAAACTGAATAGGATCGAAGTGTTTGGCAAAAGCACTTTATTAATCAGGTTGCTGGAGGAGTAACTAGAGAAAAAGAATCTAACCATGGGAACCAGAAGCAGGTCACAGCTCTTCCGAGCCATCTGGATTAGTAGTTTAGAGTGATAGAAGTACGATAGATAGTTTGTAAAGTGAATATTAGGGTTTGAATAACCTTTGCAAGAGCATAAAGAAGTAATAGTAGCAGAAGTAAAAGACTGCAAGTGCTTGTTCTTGAATTTAGCATAAGTTACCGAAAACCTAGGTGATATATGTGTGGAATATGGACCGCTTTAGTAGGTTTACTATAAGGTCAAAAGACTCTTCTATATAGAAGTGTGTGTTTACTTTAAAGACTTAGCAGGCCTTAGTAACAGATTCTTTTTAGACAAAATATTCGATGGTATAAAGTTAATAAGAGTGTTTAATTAGATAACTCAAATAATAGTGGATTATAGATATAGTATCTAGTATAGTTAAAATGTACTTTTATTGATGTAAAAAAATCGGATGCAGTCTATATGACTGTGCTAGTATCGAATCTAAAGTTTAATAAATCATGCCAGACCTGTGAATGGTTATCTTAATATTTAAAAAAAAAAACTTATAAGTAATTTTTTATGCATTTGACAGAATTAAATTTTATAATATTAAAATTAATGAATGCATTAAAACATTATTTATAAAATTTTATTTAGTATCACTCCTAAAAATATTTTCATTTATAAGCTATGCCAAATGCATATATAATCTAGTATTTATATAAATTTAATTAAATGCATATATAATTTAGTATTTATATGAATTTGATTTGATTCATATAAGCCAAGGCTGTCATCTTAATAAGGATCAAAACTTTTATATATAATATAAAAGGGCATTAGTTTATGGCGACGGGTCACCATGGTGACTCTATATGAATAGCCAATCAAAATTAAGTATGTGATTATATAATATATTGCTTATTATCATCTAATAAAAATTTTTTACAAATTTTATAACTTTTATAATAAAAAAATACAAAAGAAAATTTTCAAACCCTAAATATGATTGGCTGCTATATGTAGAGTTGCTATAGAGACAGGTTTCTATTGTCTTTTTGCCTTTATTTTTATCTTAAATTTAAATATTCAATATTTATTCTAGAGATTGTCATTACTGTATTTGTCTGAAAATAAGCTATCTTTTTTGGTCAAAAAGTTATACAAAAATTTTGCGGATAGCTTATTTTTGGATAAAAGCATTTTTTGCTAATTGCGAAAAATTTTACTAAGTAAATCGATCATGCATATTAAGTAAAAATTGTTAAGGAGATAAAATTACACATATTTTAAAAGTTTTATATAAATTGGCTAACTTTTTATTAATCAACTTTTGATTTTTACTTTCGATGAATATGAATTTTAAAGAAACTTTAAAAAAATTTTAAAAAATTCATCAAATGTAACATGCAAAAACATATTAATAAAAAGTTATCTGATTTGAATAAAACTTTTATAATATATATATTTGATCTTCTGAACAACTTTCACTTAATAAGCTTTGTCAATTTATTTAGTAAAATTTTGACTACTATAAAGTAACTACCAATGATCATTAAGTAGCTTATTTTCAGGTATAAGTCATTTTTATGTTTTTTTTCTAAAAAAGGAAGGTAGCTTATTTTCAGTAGTAGCTTATTTTTGAACAAATATGATAAGTAATATGACTATTCAGTTAAGGAATATACTAAATTTGGATATTAATAATCGCACCAAATTTAGTAATGATCATTAATCAGATGATTCTAGAATTTATATTTGAAGCATAATAAAGAAACTATATTGATATAATACTAGATTTTTTTTAACTTTTTTTTTAAAAAATTTTTACATATACAGTATTCTCTTTTTAATTAGATTGAATTTATTTATTATTTTTAATTTAAGCTTTCAAATTTTAGAGTATTTATAAAGATCAAATTTCGCTCTATTGATGAATAGTCTTTATACGTATCAACTACTATATAGAGTGAACTAAAATATCTAAATGCAATAAATTCTATATGTAGAAGAAGTCTAGAATACTATACTTAGTAGTCTTATATATATATAGAATATCTCTCTGGTATATACAATACATTATAAAATGTTACATATGTTATATAATAATAAATATGTTGATGATGAATAATATGTATTATATTTGTCTACTAGATACGAATGATAGAATTAAAAGTATAATCTGATAAATATAATAAACATAATTAGCTTATATTGAACACATATTCTTAAATCAAAATTAATATAAAAAGAGAAATTATAAAATGATCTATTAATTTAAAATATTATATTCTCATCACAACAATAAATAAAAGATTTTAAATTTTATTAACTAAATAAATACAAATAGTATTGTATAATAAATAGTATAATTAACTTATCTTAAACGTCTTGACTAATAATTTTAATGTCTACCAAAATCTAATACAAATTAAATAAAAAAAAAGATCATTTAATCTTTTGTGCATTGTTGTAATTGAATTAATTATTTATATATTTGATAAGATTAATTTTAGACTTTATCTACTTCTGAACTTTAGAAGGTTTATTAAAATAAAACTATAGATTATTAAATTAAATGTTTTATAATTAATGTAAAAATTTTTTTACAAGTATAGAAGTATACTAAATGTGCAAGATTATACTTTTACAATCTAGCTTACACAAAATAGATATTGAGATTTCGAGTTTCATTTACTTTTTAATAAAAGCTAACTATAGTGAATTATTGTAGATTATTTAAACTAGAGGTCTTACACTATCTATTCATATATTTATTCAAGCTTTTAATAATTAACTAAAAGTAAAAAAAAATTTCTGAACAATGCTAGCAAAAAAGTAAGCAAGAGCCAATCAAATTTGAGAATTTGCACATAGATCATTCTAGAACCCAATTTCCATATTTGGTATATTCTCTGACTGCTATTAGTATAGTAAGTATTTAATTAGGGACATGACAAAAATCAGGTGATTTTTTAGAAAAAAAGAGTGTAAAAAATTTAAAATTATATATAAAGACCTGATTAAAATATATAATAAGAGAAGAGGATGGAGATAGGCTTTTGATAAAAAAAAAATCAGGTAATAAATTATACTGTTCTTAGTAAAATTAAAGGCAAACATATTTAATAAGTAATAATTTTTTTAAAAAAACCAAGTTTTATACTTTTTTCTGTCTTTTATATAACTCAAGCCATTATAAAAGCTGAAGCTATTGGGGACACAAATCACTAACTCTTCTTGACAATCACTTGTACCAAACTTCTCTTAAAAACAATTGCTATT